AGGGAGCGGGCTCTGTATTGGTGGTGCTGCTTTGTCAATCCCAGCAGAGGACGCGCCTCTTTTCTCTTAGCAACGGATGCGTCTCGGCAACAGCCAGCCGGGGGAACTGCAGTTTGTTTGGGGGACTTCGGAGAGAGGAGAGTCAAACTCCCATCTCCAGCTCCCGAAGAAACTTTTCTCCAGGGTATTACAAAAAGGCTTCTTTTCCCTTCAGCTTAGCAGCATCAGGTAAGGGAAGCTTTGAATGGGGAGGGAGGCTTAGAATCAAGTATTTTGCTCACTCTTCCAAGGGCGTTTAAAACACCCTCTGTGCCCAGTGAAGATTATAAAAATGTGCAAAACTTCCTCTGCTTTCAAATAACTTCCAGCCTAGCCAGGAGACAAAAGTCGCAACGAGAGAGCAGTTAACGACACGCCAAGAACTTTGAGGGCAGGTACTAGGTCATGTTCACAGGTTTTATATCCTCAGTGCCTATCACTGTCTTTCTCCCTTGTGATCCCATGTTTTTATTTGATGCATGGGCTTCACCAGGCTGCAGGTTCTGCGCAAAATAGTTAGGAACCCCTGGTATAGAAGGGTATATTGAAGGCCTGAGCTAGAGCAAGTTATGGGAAAGGAGAGTTTGGAGTTCAGGAGATATTTCAAAGGGAGAATTGATGATTTAGCCTCTACTTAAATAAGCAGATAGCTCATCTTGGAAAGGAATGAAAGTAGGTTAGAAGGGGAGGAACGAATAGTAGACTAATAAGAAACATTGTAGAAATGGTTATCTCTGGAGGGTGGATGTTATGTACTTCTCAGAAGATGGCCAAAGAGTCCAGGAGAGACTTGAAGCTTGGAATGCTTAAATATTTGTAAGCATTCTCTTTCACAAATTCTGTTTTGTAATTGAGTCAGCTATAGTGGCTTTGAAAATCAGTTGTAGCACAAGCCCCTGGGTAGGCGCAGCCATTATTTTAGGAGCAGATGAAGTATCTCTTCTGCTGCTTTTAATTGTAATGAATTTACTTCAGCTGGGAACAGGAAAAATGTGGTCAGCATTTCAGAGTAGTCTTAGTGAATGATACCTGTATTGAAAATTTTCCATGACCTTTCATAAGTCAATTTAATGGGAAAAAATGGAAAATATAATATAGCACATTTGCTACATGAAATATGCAATTAGTTTTATGGGAAAATTTTAGTAAGACCTACTGTAACTAAAAAGTGACATCTTTTATGTGGGATTTGTTTTTAAAAGGAAAATCTGCCCCCAAAATAAACCTTGAATAGGTAAGTGTGTTTATTGAAATTATGCAGACTACATCACTCATTTGATTTTGATATCACCAATGACAACTGATTTATTTTCTAGACACAGTATTGGTAGAGTTTTTATTATTTGCAGTTATTAAAATAAACTATAGAATTTTGCCTGAAACACAAATACAATGTAAGGTAGGTACTCCCAAACTAGTCTTTTTTTTTCAGTTTAGACTGTATTTATCCGGCTGACCTCAGCCAATGAATTTTTCCATCTATGATGCCTAGCAACGTAGATATTATGCTTTTTAATGAAGAAGGATTAGGACCTCTAAAAGCCTGTGGAACAACCTGACCCTCCTTTTTCCTTGGTCACCAGTCATTATTTTAGACACAAGAGTTAATATTTGCAAAAGTAATAAATGAGCTGTTCTGGTAAGGCAGCACACATTTAATGTTTGTTCCAATTTTGTCACCTAACAGACAAATTAGGTGGTAAATTAACTTTGTTTTCCCCGAAAATTGGAAAATACCAAATTACCCACATGTCATTTCATAGCATTTGAAAAGAACTAGGTGCACTTGATTACTTTGATGATTTCTTGGGATGATTGTTTTAAACTGATATATATATTCAAGCAGCACCTGGTAATCCCTGGAGCCTGTGAATATTTTTCTATACATGGCAAAGAAGAGTTAAGATTGCTGATGAAATTAAAATTGCTGACCTTAAGATAAGGAGATTATCCTATATTATCTAGTGGGCCTAAGGTAATCACAATGGCTCTTAGAAGTGGAAGAGGGAGGAAGAAGAGAAGGCCAGAGGATGCTGTGTGAGAGGGAAGAAACCCACTGTTGCTGGCTTTGAAGATTGACAAAGAGGGCCCACAAGCCAAGAAATGCTGGGGGCTTCTAGTTTTCCACAGAAAACCTTTTAGAGGTATTCTCTGGGGGTGCAAATAAGGACACAGTGGATACATGTACACAGTCTAGGACAGAAGTACTATTTAAATTATGTTACTTTAAAATTATGTCCACATATGCACATTGTGGGCCTGTGTCTGCCCATGGACTTTAAGCCTGTGTTTGTAGCTGGGGCACCTGCCTGGGCGCCGGCACAGGGCAGCACAGAGCAGCTCCCTGGAGTGGAACCTGCAGCAGGGGCAGGGGATCCAGAGCTCCGTTGTGCTTCCGCCGCTGGGCTGTGGCGGAAACCTTGAAGTGTTGGCAGGTTGCCTCCTTGTGCTTCAGCTGAAGGGCTCTGCTGGAATGGCAAGATCTCTTTAGGAAAACTTTTGTTGCCAAAAACCTTTGGTCACAGAACACCCATTCTATGAAGATATATATTGACTTAGCCAAAGGCAAAACTTAGAAAACATATTCTTATGTTTACTGAATGACAGTACTTACTGTTGGAGACTATAAACCAGCATTTACTAACGATATTTTCTCTTTATGCAGCCTAAGTCAGAGCCATGGCTCCCAAATCTCAAAAACGAAAGATCTCAAAAACTGGACAAAAAAAAAATAACATTACCTGGTAAGACTGTTTTTTCATTAACCGGCTTTCTAAGCATTTAGTACTTGTACGTATATTAGCAGCCAAAATGATCATGGTTTTATGTCTCAAATAAACATCTTTGCTGTCATAAAGTCAAACACAAGTGGAATTCAAAATCTGGGGATTTATTCTTTTTTAGTATGTTTATTTTATTGAAGTACAGTTGATTTGCAGTGTTTCAGGTGTACAGCAGAGTGGTTCAGTTATACATATACATGTGTATATCTATTATTTTTCAGATTATTTTCCATTATAGGTTATTACAAGATATTGAGTATAGTTCCCCATGCTTAGTTCCTTGTTGTGTAACTACTTTATATATAGTAGTTTTTATCTGTTAATCCCAAATTCCTAATTTATCCCTCCCCTGGGGATAGATTCTTATTCTTTATTCATTTCATTACAATATCAATTAAATGCCATATAATAAATGTCATAGCAAATATATCACTATGAGATAATTCTGTGAGAAAAACAATTATTTCAGTTTCTGTCTATTGAATTATTCATAAAATAGCTTAAATCTTTATTGTGTCTTTGCTTTTATGTTTTGTGTTAAGACTTGGTAAAAGATTGTAATAAACTAAGACACATATTTGATTCAAAAATGTAAATTTAACATCATTTTATTATATTCCAGTTAGTGAAGAAGCAGAACCTATAAATATGGAGAGCATGGGTAAGTGGAAATACAATTCAGAATTTATGTCCCCAGTTCTACAATATTTTAATGTGTAATAAGCAAGTGAGAATACTACAAATTGAAGTGACTGAGCAAAATGTGCAGGGACTAAAATGACATCGTGTCATTTGTAATATAAAATAAAATTTTTAAAGAAAGAATACAAAGTAAGAGTGGAAGAGAGAATTTCAAACTGAGAAATAGACTAAGACCAAGCAGTCCCTTAAAAATCCAGTATTATATGATTATTAGGAGACTGTTTGTAACTATAAAGTGTGGTAAATCTGCAAGTTATGACTTTTATTATAATAATCTCAAACTCTGGCTCTTGGGCAATATTTATCTGTTCGTCATGGTAGGATTCCACTATTTCAAGGAGAGAGGCTGATTTTTAATCAAATAAGCTAAAACTGAGACAACCAAACTAATGTTGTTCCTAATTTTTGAGGTGAAATAATCTTAGTCCAACAACTTCTTAATTGGTTGTTGTTGAAACTCTCTTTAGAGTTGCCTTAGAGGATGCACTTCCTGTTTGGAAACAGAGGGGAAACAGTGAGGGTATGGAGGAGGAAGCTCGAAAAGCCTTGGAGGCCATCATAAAGGTTTTGGCTTTTCATCTTGTAGGTTGAGGAACTATTGGCAGCGTTTAAGCAGAGAGGTGACACGATCTGACTTCTGTTTGTAAAGGGCCAGCCTGGCTACTCTGTTGGGAATTGCAGGAGCAGCGACACTAGTTAGGAAGCTATTGTGACAAGCCAGGAAAGAGATGGTGGTGGCAGGGCCAGGGTGGCAAAGGGGTGCAGGTGTGGAGTGTGGAGGTGGGGAGGCGGTGGGAGGATGTCAGCTCTCAGTAAGCAGCACTGGAGCAGGGTGTGCTGCCCAGCAAACACTTACTAAATTAATGAAGGTACCACCCAGAAACATGGGGCTCATCTTTGACTCCTTTCTCCCCCTCAACACCTCCTCACTTGCACCTAAACCATCCCAAGTCCTGTCTGTATATCTCAAACGCATCCAGTTCACATGATCTCCATATCTACAACCTTAGCCTCCACATCCCTCATTTAGATTAGTTCCCTAGCCCTAACTGGTATCCCTCCTTCCACTCAGCCTCCTCCAATGCATTCTGCACACAGAAACCCTTCTGACTTGTCTCTTTCCTCCTTAAACTCTCCCATGGCTTTTCTTTGTCCTTATAGTGGTCCTGGCCCCGCCTTCTTCTCTGACCTTGTCTCTCCATCCCCTCCTGCTACCTATAGCTCATCGGCCTTGCTTAGCACAAAACATACCCAATTCGTTCCTGCCTCAGGACCCTTGCTCTCGTTCTCCTCAGTGCCTGGACAAGCCTTCCATGCAGCTCTCTCCTTCTCATCTTTCAGATCCAGACTCCAATCCCATCTCCGCAAGAGGCCTTTCTTGAAGGCATCTCTTTCACCTAGTGCACTATTTTATTGCCTTCATTGCACTTATCATAATTCTGAAGTTAAAGTACAGTCAATTGTCATTACTAGTGGACGCTCTATACAGTTGCTGCAAACACTGAATTAGCAAATCCTGAGCCATTGCTCCTAAGGGAGATACAGGATTAGGTTCCTGCAAACCTCTGGTCACAATATTTCATTTACCAATCCATACATAACCTTGTGTTATGTGTGTTTCTGTTTAAAGACAACTTATTTATGTTGTTGAATCATTAACACAGCCAACGGCACTATGATTCGTGCTTGACTGATGCGTATCTAATACACGTGTTTTCTCTGTGAAACGCATCACAGCCTTCTTGTGCTTAGGAACACTGGACAGCACTTTAGCAGGAAGCTTGGGGACCATTTTAGACAGCCAAATCACAAATACAGAGCACAAAAATGTAAAAAACATGGTACTATATAAACAGTGGAAAGGACACTGTTTACAGTATGAGAGCAGATAGAAGATGGTAGAGCATCGTCTTGTTTGATCTTACCTGGCAACGTGCATGTTGGGCAGCTCACGTATTTTGGCCACTCTCAGCATGTCCACTAATGACTGTGAAAGTACCACTATTGATCTCGGGGTTATAAATACATCTTAGCAAGTGAATTTGCAAATACCAGATTTGTGGGTGATAAGGATGGAGCATATTTGTATGTTCATGCATTTATAAGCTATTTCCACACATACCCATGCAGGCTCCCCTCGTGTACTCTCTCTTTCTTCCCTTTTCTCGCTGTCTCTCTGTTCACCACTGTACCGCAATGCCTAGAACAGATCTTGACACATAATAAACACTCAGTAAATATGTTGATTGCTTGAATAAAAGAATGAATGAATTGCTTTCCCTGTTCCTCCTGTCTAATCAGACCACGAGCACTGCTGCCCTCCTTAGTTCTATGTTCTGTCTCTCACCCTGTGTTCTCCTAGACTGCACTTGTCACCATTTGTCCTTATGTATTTCTGAGTGTATTTATCTGTTTAGTGTCTGTCTCCCCCTCTAGATTGTGTGCCCTGGCACTCGCACCATGCTTTTCACATCATAGGTGCTCAGTACATATTTCCTGACTAAATAATTGACTGGTAAGAAAATCCATGAACCTGAGAATGGGACATGATGGGGATGTTTCAGCTGAAAGTAAATGGACTGAAAAATAAAAATGAGTATGTTTCTTTAAAGAGAAAAAAAAAATCTCAGTACTTTGTAGTGAAAGTTGAGGGCAGGTTTTGACTTAGCACCCCTTGTCCTAGAACCTCTCCCTGTACCCGCAGACTCCCCTCAGGCAGCATCAGGACCCCTCAGACTTCCTAGCTGTGGGGTCCTGACATTGTCAGCTGTCACTCAGGGCTTGTGGCTGTCATGCTGCAGGGGACGAGGACCCTCTCTCCTACCAGGGAAGCAAGGGACCAACAGACTAGCTAAAAACTCTCCTAAGGGCCTAACAGGCAACGTCTGGAGGTTTCTAGAGAATCCGTATAAGCAGCAGTGTGGCCATCACAAGATGGAGGTGCTGTGACCCTAGAAGTTAAATAATTTACCAAATTATAAGTCACACCTTAATACAAGTTAGAGTGTCTGTGGTTATATTAACGGCCTATTGCTTCTATAACAAATTACCACAAATTTACTATCATACAGTTTTGGAAATCAGGAGTCTGAAATTACTTTCACTGGGGTAAAGTCAAGGTGTCGGCAGGGCTGGTTCCTTCTGGAGGCTCTGAAGGGACAATCTGTTTTCTTACCTTTTTCAGTGAAAGGCTTCCTGTAATCATTGGCTCTTTGCCCCTTCCTCTTTCTTCAAAGCCAATACCATAGCATCTTCCAATCTTTCCCTCTCTTTGACCTCAGCCTCCCTGTCACATCTTCCTTGACGTTGACCCTCCTGCCCTCCTCTTATAAGGACCCTCGTGATGACATTGGACCCATCTCAGAAGCCCAGTAATCTTCCCATCTTAAGATCCTTAACTTAATCCCACCTGCAAGCCCCTCTTGTCATATAAGGCAACATATTCACAGGCTTCAGGAGTTAGGCCATGGATATCTTTGGGGGGACATTATTCTGTTTACCACAAGTGATGAATAGCGTGGTTTTTGAAGTTAGCCAGATGTGGTTTAAGTCATAATTTTGCTACTGAATGACTGTGTGACCACAAATGACTTCAGCTGTCTGCTCTCTGCTTCCGCATCTGAAGAATGAGGGTGTAATACCTACTTCATGAGCTTATTGCAGAAGTTAAATTAGGTAGTTCACGAACATTTCCTTACAGAGGGCTGTCACAGAGAAGGTTCCCATTAACTGTTGTTACTATTTTTAAAAAATACCATCAAGATAGAGAAATAAATAAATGAATGACAATGAAGTATCCAAAAAGAGACTCACACATATACAGTCAATTAATTGATTTTCAACAAAAGTGCAAAGGCAATTCAGTGGAGAAGGGATAATCTTTTCAACAAATGATGCTGGAACAATTGAATGTCTACATGCAAAAAAGTCAACTTCAATCCATACTGCACAGAATGTACAAAAATTATCTCCAAATGTAAAACAAAATATCATAAAACTTCTGGAAGAAGCCAGAAGAAAATCTTTGTGACCTTGGATTAGGCAAAGATTTCCTAGACACAGCACCCAAAACCAAAAGCATAAATCTTACGAAATCTTTGCCTACTTGATTTTTCCTTTTATGGAATACTAGTCAGAAATATAAAGAAATGAACCATTGCTACATGCAACAATGTGACTGAATCTCAAAATAATTATTCTGAGTAAAAGAGGACAAAGTATATACCGTGGAATTTCATTTATAAATATTCCAGAAAAAAGTAAACTATTATTCTATAGCAACAGAAAGCGCATTAGTGGGGGAAAAGGGGTGCTGGGAGAACCGGCAGGAGAAAACTTTTGGGGATTATGGATGTGATTCTTCATCTCAGTTGTGGTGATGGTTTCATGAGCATATGCATATATATATATCAAATTGTACACTTTAAATATATACAGTTTCCTATTTGTCAGTTATATCTCAATAACATCATTTTTAAAAAAAAGTTAACAGCAACCAAAATGAATAAAATTATTTTTTAAAAAAAAGTTAACAGTAACCAAAATGTTTTTTTAAAAAAAGATATAGATGAAATGCGTGGGAGTTCATTACGTGAACTCTGTTTCAACATGCAGGACAACTGATGTGTGACGCATGGCTTGTATTGCACAGGCCGCTTCCCTGCGCACACAGCCGGATTCCAAGTGAGCTAGTTGTGTGCAGCTTGAGTCTGGCTTTGGCTCCTGCTCTACCAGGCGACTCAGTAAATAACTGCCATTCAGTGCATCCGATGGAATGTAGCCTCTGTGACATCCCTGACCACGTGTGAAGAAGGAGCAGGACCCTGCTGGGCTCTGCTGTGCTCACACATTCAAGAGAAAGCACAGCATGGTAGTTAGAGTGCAGGCACCGTGGTTTGGATCCTGGCTCCCCTGTTTCCAACTCCCAGCCCCTGACCTTGGATACCTTATTTGGACTCAGCTGAAAAAGGGAGGGCAGAGGGTATACTCAAGTGGTAGGGTGCATGTTTAGTACGCATGAGGCCCTTGGTTCAAGCCCCGGGGCCTCCTCTATAAATAAACAAACCTAATTACCTTTCCCCAAATAAATGAATTTAAAAAGTTAAAATAAGTTTTTTTAAAAATGGAGACAATTAAGTAACCACCTCAGAGTGTTGTTGTGAAGAGTAAATGAATTAATAATCCATGTAACGTGCTTAGATCACATTACTAAGGTGCTTCACAGACGTTACCACAATTAACATGGCTTTTATTCACTCACATTGTTGCTCACTAGCCGCACCAGCCTGGCACCCTGAGCTGCAGGCCTTGCCCACTTGGCAGGCACCCTTGACCTCTGTAAGCTTCAGGAGGCCCTGCAGGCCTTCTCTGCTCCAACATCTTTCTCACCCTCCTGGAGCAACCAGTATCCCACTCCGCGGAGGTGCAGCTGAGCCCAGAGGCCATCTCGTTGCAACTCCATTGTTGTGTACCTGGAGTGCTATCTCAGTGCAGGCCTCAAAGCAATAGCAATTCTTTTGTTGAATTTAGCCAGAGACCCTCGGGGGTGGCCAGAAGCATCAGGCCTTCCTGTATCTAGTTTGGCCATTGTTCAGGAAGGGCACGAAAGTATAGACTGCAGGAGTTTTGCATGGTCTGTTGGCTTCCAGTTGCCTGCAGTTACTGCTGATTGCCAACCCCAGCCAGAAGCAAGCTCCTGGTTTTACTCATTTCTAGATAAAGGGATGTTAGATCCTATATTAAAGTTACCTTGAAAACACCCACTTAGTGTAAAAGGATTATTTTTATGAAAAATATCCAGCTAGTAGTACTTGCAGTGTGTTTAGTAGGGGCAGGTGACATAGAACACTGTCTTTGTCGCTGTCTTTCCAGTTTCTTGGATGGTAGGAAACTTCCTGGTTGTTGTGAACACCTCGGTTCACAAAGGACCGCCACAGCCTTTTTGACATCAGCTCAGTGTGAGTCTTACAGCTCCACCTTGTGGGTTTTCCAAGGCAAAACTGCAGAATTTTTCTTAGGCATTGGACACTACAAATTACCCTTGGCAGTACGTTTTCGAAGGATAGCTTGTATGTAAATCAAGTCAACAGTTGCTTTTTGAACATCTCCTGTGTGCCAGATGTTAGCGTTAGTATTTTGAGGAAGATAAAAATGGGCAGTTTTTGCCCCTAATTTATGAGCAACTTGTATTCCAAATGTTTATTATACCAACTGATAGCAATTTGCAATATATTTCTGTATATAATCAGTGTTATGCATACAATCACTAAAAAAAAAATCCAAAATCACCTGACTAATGGTGCAATAGAGCCACTAGGGTGAGAGGGGTCAATGTTTCTGTGAGAAAATAAGCTCAAAATTCCAACTTGAGGGGCCACACGCACTTCTCCTCTCCAGGCGCACCTGCTGAGCAGCGGGAGGGAGCCTGTCAGGATGTCCATGTGTGGGGGGGCCTGGAGAGGAGACGGGTGGGTTCTGGGATCCTGGGAGCATGAGCTAGGGGAGGGAGTTCTGGGGATAAATGCAGGACTGAGACTGGGGTAGTAGAAACTGATGGCGACAGAAAGAATATGAAAATGAGAGAAGGCTTGAGAGAGGAGATGCCAACAGGCAAAACGTAGCTTGTCCTCTTCCATCGGCTGTCCCAGGGCTTGCTGCTGCCGAGGACTGACCTGAGGTGGGGGACAAAGGGACAGGAAGAACCAGAATGGAAGGCCCGTGAACCTCCCTCCTCTCCTGAGGGCGATCCTGGGCCGCGGGAACCAGAGGCGGGAACAGGGATTCCCTAACACACCTCCCTTCCCACTTCCATGCTGACTAATATGGCCTGATCTAACCAGGAAGTCAGTGGCTTTAACATGTGAAGAACTGAGGAGCAAGTCTGACTGTGAAAAGGAGCCGTAGGGAGCAGAGATACCTAGGCAGGGTCAAGGGAAGTTTTCTTGAAGTGGGAGCCCATTGAGCAAGCGGGTATGCTGAGGGCAAACCCCACAGAGTAGGAAAGGTAGATGGGAGAGGAGGGGCTGGTGGGCCTGGAAGGCTGAGAAGGGTGGGGAGGGGTCTGCAGACCTGAGGGAAGGGCAGAAAGATGGTGCCTGTGCTGATCAGCTGGTGGGCGCGCAGGGCCGCGAGGCCTCCCAGGAGTCACTGCTGTCCAGACACAGAATTCTCTCTGGGAAAGAAAGTGAGGCCACCTACTGAGAGAGAGTAGCAGGTGAAGGGGCGCCGGAGGGGGCGCGTTTAGGAAAGCAAACGGGTTTGATAGAGCCTAAAAGAGTGCTAATACCTTCGCACCAATAATTTCACTTTAAAACCTATCCTAAGAAAATAATTTGAAATATGATAAAATTTTATAAACTAGACATTTGTTTATAGAGTAATTTATAACCATTGGAAACAAATGAGAAAAAATGTAATGCTTACCAACAACAGAATGGTTAAAAACTATGCTATAGAATTACATTAATTTAAAATGATGCATAAAAAATTATATAATGTCACAGTAAAAGTCTAGTGACACAATGGTACGTATGAAAGGCAGGATTTAGAATTTCATGTAAGATAATATATATTGGAAGCACAGCCTTCTTGTGCTTAGGATACTAGATCTACAGCACTTCAGCATTAGTGGGTCATTTCAAGTGGTGCAATCATGAACAAAAAGCACAAAAATGCAAAAAGCATTGGCTCTAAGAAGGCTGTGAAAAACCTCAGCTGGGAACATGCTTGTTAAGCAACTAAAAATTTTTCACTATAAAGTTTTCATTGTGTACATGTCCTTGAATGACTGTGAAAGCACCATGAGCATTGATTTCAATAAATAATTCTGTTGAGAAAAAAAAGAGACTATATATGGAGTGGCTGGAAGGAAATAGGGCAAACTATTCATTCAGATTCTCTCTTAAGAGAGGTAGTAGCAGGTGATTGTTATTTTCTCTTTTAATCTTTTGACTTTTTTTTTAATAATGGATAAACTAACTTTAAAAATATGAACAATAATTTTTAAGTCTTAAAATTGTAACCAAGACAATTATTTAAAGCATAACAGTGGCATGTTTCCTAGCGTTAGGGTTTGAAATGGTTCTATTTGATGTCCAAATTCCACTTTGCCTTTCCCAGGTCATCCGGAAATTTATCCTTTGGTGTTAACTACCAAGACCCAGGAAATATTTAACTGCCGAATAGATGAAGATATCACGGATGAACAACCTTATAAACTTATCAGAAAAGAAGATATTTTTGCAGATTTCATAAACAGAGCTGCAGTATCTGATTTCTACCCAGTCAAAAAAATTATTCAGGTTGAGTACAGCATCACTCTTGATTTTTCAGTGCTACCTCAAGAAGTTCCTGGTACATAATCTCAAAAGTTGGAGAGATTGCTGAGTTCACATCTGGTATTTCCCATTGCTTTGGGCAGGTGCTAGCTTGCCTGTGCATCCTTGGGAACCCTTCTTGTTGGCCCTTTGTGGAAAGCACACTCCTGTCAGTGACAGATTGTCTTATTCCACATCCAGAAGAGCATATCTTTGCTTAATTTTTTACTAGAAAAGGAACCCACCCTTATTTCCCCATACTGCTCTAATTTTTCAATTCAAAACGTTGGTACTGGTTTCTCTGCAGACATGCTAAAGAGCACAGCACCAAATAAAAGGAATGCTGCTTCTTTTTTTTTTTCCTGTTAGAAATAAAATTGCATGGTAAATTTCCCTTGATCCTTTGTGTTCTAATAGCTTTTGTAAGTTAATAAAATAATTTTGCAGTTTGGGGTTATTAACCATAGATTAGCATCATGGTTATCTTCTGTGATTGACTGACTGATTGATTAAAGAAATATCAATTTTGTGTCAGTTTCTGAATAAACTGGCCACTAAATATTAACCTTCTCTTTTGATGATATTTTTGTAGGAATATCCTGGAGATGAGCTTCTGCTAGTTTATGACAAAGACTTCAAATATGGACTTAACTTTTATCTTATTGGAACTGAAGAGGGCAAGGAAAACTATTTAAATGTAAGCACATCCCGAGTCTGTGCAATCTGTTGACTGTCAGAAGGAAGTGGTGCCTCTCGGGGGAGCCCTAGACGTGGTCATGGTTATTCTTGTTCAGCTCTGATTCCCCGGGGTGTAGAGTAGGTGAGCAGTAACTATGGGGTGAGGTAACTCAGACGTCTCAGGGCAGCAGATACTCCACTTGTTTGCCCTTCGTCGACCCAATGAGAGTGGAAGCAGCCAATTTGGAGCATCACTGCTCTTGGCCATTCCTTGGCCCGTATTTCTGTTTCTCCTCTTGCCATCTCCATGATGTCGGGTAGGTTACTGAACCTCTCGTCCTCAAAATGGTGGCACCAGTTGGGCCATTGTGAAGAGTAAATGGGCCGATACAGATAAAGCCCTTTTATAGTGCCTGGCACAAAGCTAGGTGCTCCACACGTTTGTTTGCTCTGATTATTTAATAGCAAAATTTTAAAGTGACAACTTGGTCAGTGGGGAGTTAGGGGAAAAGTCTGTCAAAGATAAACAGAAAATAAAAGAATGGTAGTTTCCAAAGAAAGGAAATCAGTTTACCCTTGGGGTGTAGTGTCAAAGTGGTCATGAAAGGTGACAGGTTTCTGACAATTGCCTTCAGATCTGGCATCCTGGTGGGGAGGTTTTGTCAAATTCAGTGTGACAGGGGTTTGTGTGGTCCAATAAACAAGAAAAATAAAGGAAAACCATAGGGCTTCAAAATATCTAACACTTTTTAAATTTAAAATAATCTTTCAGTTAGCCATAACATTTTCAATTTTTATTTTTATGGTTGCTTTTCTCTGTGTTTTAGTATTTTTATTATGGTGAAATATTTCAAGTGTATAGAAAAATACAGATGATGTAACAAACATCTACACAATCACTATGCAGAATTAACAAATGTTAATATTTGATCATATTTACTTCAAATTCTTTTGAAAAGAAATAAAATATAGCAGGTAATGTTTGATTCCCTCTTATAAGCTTCATAATTCCATTTTTCTAACTCCTCTCTATAAGGAACTATTACTCTAAAGTTGTTATGTTCTTCTGTCCATGATTTCATACCATTACCATGTATGTATGGTCCACAAATATTTTTTAACTTAAAATTTACACAAATTTTATCATACAAATTGTTTTGTAACTTTTGTTTTTCACTGAATTGTAAACTTCCAGGATCTGTCCATGTTGAAAACATTAAGATATCACATACATGCATACTGAGCTTGCTCATTGCAGCTGTTTTACGAGATTTTATTTTCTGATTATACCACAATGTATCAACCCTTTTCCTTAATGATATTTATTCAGTTGCCCATTTTTTCTCTATTACAAATAAAGCAGCCGTGAACATCTATATAACTGTATATCTATCTGAATACCTCCTAGTGGACATCTTAGTTCAAAAAACATTCACTCTTTATTATTTAATGGATATCATATTTACTCATACATATAATCCTTTTATCAAAATTCATTTCATTAAATAATAGAAAACTAGTGTAATATTTTATCAAGTTTTCCATTCCATATTCTTAAAGGTACACAGTATCTGCTTTTTTCTTATTACTTATCTTTTCCTGTTTCTACTCTCCCATCTATTTCTTCTTTCTATATCTATACTTTCTTTTTTGTTCTTTAGTCTTCCTTTTTTTTTTTTGCTGAGTTTCTCATAATTGAAAAGCATGAAACAACAAAGAAGAAAAATAATAAGGAAGACCTTAATAAATTTATATAAAAGTAAAGTTTATCACAAAATATACATATATAATATAACCTAAACTTGTTCACATATTTTAGAATGCTGTTTATTTTCCTCCAGCCCCTAGAGGTACCAGAAGAACAGGAGGAATATAAAGAGCATATTCCTGAGGATCTGTATGTTTATAAGCCGCCTGTCTCCAAGCCATGGGTCTCTTTGGGTAGTGAAAGAGAAATTGACGAAGAAACGGTTAAAGAATCTACAAAACAGGTCAGCAGCTTGAATGTGGTCTCTCGTCAATACCTCCCTGTAGCTGAGCAACACTTACTCTGAGGGTCTGTATGGTTTGCTATGTTTGCTAAGGGGATATGGTTTTTCTTTTGATAGAAGAATGGTCACTGTCTTAGGTGGGTGTTATGGGTTGAATTGTGTCTCCCCCTCAAAAGGTAAGTTGAAGTCCTAACCCCCAGTATTTCAGAATGTGACCTTGTTAGGAAATAGGGGAAGCTTTATCCAATATGACTGGGGTCCTTCTGAGAAGAGGGTCTTGTGAAGTCAGAGACACAGGGAGAACACCATGTGAAGACGAAGGCAGAGATTGGAGTGATGTGTCTACAAGCCAAGGATTGCTGGCCATCACACCTGAAGCTAGGAGACAGACAGGTAACAGATTCTATTTCAGAACCCTCAGAAGGAACCAACCCCCAACACTTTATTTCAGACTTCGAGCCTTTACAGCTGACAGAGAATAAATTCTTGTTGTTTTAAGCCACTTGGTTATAGCAACCCTAGGAAACGAACACACACCAGCCCCTGAGAGGAGCAGTTATGTGCAAGTGATGTATTATGCAAGTGTTCCATAAGAGAATGGGAAACACGGCAGGACAGAGACAAGGCCAAAACTCTGCAAGGGTGCAATTTCAGGCAAAAGGCTGGCGGAGGTAAGGCTTCAGCCTGAACCCCTAGGGGAACTCAGAGGTGTCACAAACAGAAGCAAAAGAGATGGGCTTACATGTGTCTCCTGCTAGTCTATCACTGATCAAGATGTAAACTTCCAGTCACTTCCTGTTCTTTGTACCTTCGGGCAAAGCGGTCCCCATAGCCCTAGAGCATCCTCCACAGAAGAGCAGCAGGTGGGGCTGTGGGAACAGAGAGCACACGGACCTGGAAGGGTGCACAGCAAGTACACAAAGGGATCCGCGAGGATGAGGGCAGAGCATCAGTGTTGTTGACCCCACATCCGTTTTTCTCCACAGACTTGGTAATATTTCCTTCACTGCTTACATGTATTGCAGATTACATATATGATTTCTCGAAAACGAAGTGAATTTGGTGCCCCTATTAAGTTTAGTGACCAGAATGCTTCCAGTGTAAAAGATGCCTATATTGAATGTACAGCCTACCCAGATAAAAATTTTACCCTTAAGCAACTTGAAAGAGATGTCGGCATGCAAGTCATCCCCCAAATCAAGGACATAAGTACTCAGACAAGATGGTAAGTATGCGATGGATTTATATATATATATTTTAATGTCAATTACAGTAAAATCTAGCAACATCCATGATTACTTCGAGAGATCTTTATAATAGAAATGAATTGACAGTGATGCCAGATCTCCACGGAGTAATTCAACTCAAGAAGATGTAATTATAATCAACAACACCTTTCAAAAATCTGGGAAAATGAAATATCAATATATAAGACTATAAAGACTATGAAGTCGGGAAACGAGTGATGCTGTTAATAATTACAGTACTGCTTTCAGAGAAGGGGCCCTGGTCATCTCTCACTTGGAATATTATCATCACCTTCTAACTGGTCTAGTCTACCACCTAAGTGATCATTCCAACGTATCGAATCAGATTGTGTTACTTCACTGCCTGCATCTCTTCCATGGCTCCCCATCACATCCAGAGCCCTTAGGATGACATCTAAGGTCCTCCTTCCTCCGTGATGAGGCACTGTCTGCCTCTCCAGCCCTGTTCCCAGACAAACCCTCCAGGCTCTAGCCTACGAGCTGCTTCCAGCTCACAGAATACCTGCTCTTCCACATCTTCCTGCCTTTGCCCATGCTGTTCCTCTGCATAAAATGCCCTGACTACCTTATCCAGCCCTCTTGACTCTAAATTTCAGTTCAGTAGCCCATCCTCTGTGAGTTCCTACAAACACCAGGTAGAGTTGGTCACTGTCTCCTCTGGGTTCCCGCTGGAACTTAGAGGTATCTTTATATACCACCAAACTGATGATCCATATTGTCCTCGTCTGCTACCTGTCTGTCTGCCTTACATCCAGGCAACTTTGAGGCTATCGATGATATCATTTTACACAGCAAGCCCTTAATTAAAATTTATCCAGTGAATAAATTGGTGTGAAATGGATTGCTGAGGGAATTGAGCTAGGTTTTGAATGTTGTATAAATTTGATGACATATTTAGCTAAGCCATACATATTTTTAGGATTAAAAAAACCTTTTATTTTGAAATAATTTTAGATTCATAGAAGAAAAGCAGCAAATGTTGAATATGATTTGGAGACATCGAAATGGAAAACAGCCTAAATTTTTTAAAGTTACTTGAACAGTTCAAAGGGGTGTGGTGAACAGAGTTTGCATGGGACCACAAGGAGACCAGCTGGGTAGGGTGGAGGGAGCAGCAGCAGCGACAGACAGACAGAGAAGTGGGTTCTCTGTGGGAGACAGTAGAGAACTTTGGCAACCTGAAGTGAAGGAGAGGCAAGATGGTAAAGCTATTATGAGCCAGGCAGTATGTGTTGGAGAGCAGAGGAAAGAAAAAGTCTGGAGTTGAGGAGACTGGCCAAATAGGAGTCTATTTTAATTAAACCAGGCAAAATGTGACCAGTGTCTTAAAGTGAGGTGGTGGCAGTAAGCCAAGAAGAAAGAGTGGAAAGCAGACATGTGTAAATACAAAATGCATAACTCCCATCATTAAAACGAACGAAAAATGTTTGGCCTTTCCTCTATTAGCTAATTTCTCCAACTTTTTTTTTTTACAACAAAACTCCTCACAACAGTTGTCCACATTCTCTAGTTCCACTTTCTCTTCTGCCACTCTGTTTCAAGCCCACTCCAGTCTTAACAAGGTCACTGAAGACCTCCAGTGGTCTGTTTGCCTAATCCAATTTCCAGACCCCGTCTTCCTCCACTTTTGAGCAGTATTTAACATGGTTGACCATTTCTCCTTCTTTCTACACACACATTTTTCCCTTGGCTTCTGGACAATACTCACTGTACCCCTCCGAAGTCACTGGCAGCTCCTTCTCAGTCTCTTTTACTTGGTCCTCCTCCTCCCGACTTCTAAATATTAAAGGACACCTGCAGCTAACTCTGGTTGATGTTTTCTCTAACTACACTTCATCCCTGGGTGAATTTATCCAGTCCTATGGCGTTACCTATTATCAGTTTGCTGATGGCTCCCAAATCTATACCCTCAGCCTTAATCTCTCCCTCGAACTATACACTCATTTATTCATCTGCTTCCTTAAATATCTAACAGGTGTCTCAGAGTGAACATACCCAACGATGAACTTTTGAGTTTCTATTTTCGAACCTGAAACTCCCCAAATCTTTCTCATCTCAGTAAATGACAATGACCTTCTTGTAATAACTCAGACCCCAAACTTTGAACTTCACTGGCTCTATCTTCAGAATATATTTACTGCTATCACCTTGGACCAAGCCATCATCATCTCTTGCCTGGATTACTGTAATGCGTCCTAACTGGGCTTGCTCTATCCGTCCCTTCCCTTCTACATTCTGTTCTTCATAGAGGAGCCAGACTAATCCTGTTAAAATGTAAGTCATATAAATGTCTCAGACAAAACCCCTCCTGTGGCCTCCCATCCTGAAGGAACCTCCAGGGCTTCAAATGCTCTGAGTCCCATTTCCCCCTCTGCCCTCATTTCCCACAACTCCACTGGCTCATCCATTCCAGCACCACTGGCTTCATTGTTCCTTGAATTCACCAAACCTATTCATACCTGATGTGTTTATGCTTACAGCTCCTCTACAGAGGCTGCTCTCCCCCCCTCCATAGGGTTTATTCGCTCCTTCATTCAGACCACTGCTTGAATGAGGCATTCCTTGACACTCATGTGTAAAAGCAGCGCCCCTCGCTATCCCGCCCCTTGCTTTATTTTTCTTCATGGTGCTCCCATCACTTGATATGTGTTTGTCACTGTCTCTCTTCTCTCACCTTCTCCTCACCACCACTTAGAATTTAAGCCCCATGAGACTGGGACTTTGACTGTTTTCACTTCTGTATCCTCAGTTCCTAGGACACTTCCTGGCACGTATTTATTAAATGGAGGAGAAGAAAGGAATGGAGGAAGGAAAGGAGGAGGAGAGGGATCAAGTTAAGGAAGAATGTGCAGAATGGATGACTGACTTGAGTTCAGTGTTAAGAGAAGAGCCGTGAACTATACATTGAGAGAGGCCATGACCAGGAAAACCATGGGTCCTCAGTGTGGACAATAGTACAAACCACACTTTTCAGATCTCTGTGAACCAAAGAGTCAGACACCGTGAAGGTGCAATGTTAAAGTTCAGGCACAAGTGCATAGATGCCCGGGGTCAAGACAAGACTTGGGTCAGAAGCCAGGGAGGCAGGTGGACAGACAGGTCAGAACCAAAGGAGGTGAAGAGAAAGACAAGGATTAGTAGTGATGTCTTGGCAGAGGATTAGGACATCAGAGATCATTAAATACCAAGAAGTGAGGGTAAGACAGGAAGGAGGAGATGTGATTCATTAGCACGAAAAATAACTTAGATTTTGAGACAAATTTCCTAGTCAAACCAAGTGTACAGAAAAGTGATGAGAATGAGTCAGCCAGGGTAGACTCAGGAGGTAGACTCAGAAAGGGAGAGTGACTTCTGAAAAAAGAGACCCTAGCCACAGGGCTTTGCAGTCAAATGCTCTACCACTGAACTATACCCCTAGCTAGGACTTTGGATTTAATAGACCCTCAGTGACTGTTGACTAATGATGATGGACAATTGTTTCTATGTGGATGAATAGATGAGAAATAGGATCAGGTCTTGACCCACAGAGTGAGAATCAAAAGTAACTCAAATGGTTCAAATCCAGGCGACTTGGGAGAAGAATCCTGATTCTATTTACTAAGGTCAGAAATTAGGTGGAGAAGACAGATATATGATTGTGATGGAAGAAGGAAAAAAAATCAAAGATGAGGTTCAAAGAGTAGTGACAATGAAAACAAGAGCTTACATTGCTCTTACATAGCAGGCATTCTTCAAAGTACTTTGCACACATGAACTCAGTTAATCCTCACAACTGCCCTCTGAGATAGGCACTACCCCCATGTTACAAATAAAGAAACTGAGACAAAGAGAGGTTGAAAGTGAAAGCTCAGTGTTTGGAACATAATTTAAATTTTAAGCAGTAATGAGTAAATTTGCTGAGAAACAACTAAACAATCACATTTTAAAAAGTAAGAATGACTCTTAAGCCGTGTTGCTACTTTGATGAAACCGCCGGGTGCCATATAATTTCTTACTTATTCCTACCTGGAGGGTCTAGCGTGGGGTAGAAGCTAAAAGGCGAAGCTGAGATCCGAACCCAAGTCTCTGGTTCCAACACCAACATCCTTTCTTCCCTCTGCCTTCTGCTGTGGATACTGCTCTAGGCAAGGAGCAAAGAATCAACTGTTCTATTAAATATAAACAAAATTCCCTTTACCACTGTTTGATTACTCTCCATTAATATATTTGCCTCTCACAGAGACATTAGTATATTTTACTGAAATTTGTTCAGCAAACACAGGTTAAATACAACCTAGTTTTTTGGAGTACTTAAAAATGCACTAAGCACTGTCTTAAAAGCTTCGCATCTGTTAACACATTCAGTCCTTACAGTAACACCATGAGCCAGGTACTATAAGTATTTCATTTACAGATGAAACAACAGGCACAGAGAGGTTAAATAAGTAGCTCAGGGCGACATAGCTAGTACGAGATAGAACCAGGCTGCAAGCCGGGCAGCCTGTCACCAGCATGCACGCTCTTCAGGGCTGTGCTCTGTCATCCTTCTGTAGCCCCACACTCTAAGATGAAGGAACTCACCCAGTCTAGAGAGGGACACTGACGAAGCCCAGAGGTACAGCGCAGTGTGTCATGTTCAAGGGTGGAGGTGAACCCTGAGAGCAGACTGGATGGAATAAGCTTTCTCCCAGAGACCGTACTGCCGTAACTTCCAAAATGTAAATTGTTCCTCGTTCTGTATGTTTAGAACAGAGCTTCTCAACCCCAGCACTGCTGACATCTGGGGCTGGATAATTCTCTGCTGCGGGCGGCTGCCTCGAGCACTGCAGGGTGTTTAACCGCATCCCTGGGCTCTGCGCACTAGATCCCAGTAGCATTTCCCAGTTGTGACAAGCACAGTTGTTTGCAGACGTTGCCAGATGTTCCTGGGTTGAGAAGATGGGACAGGATCCCGCTGGTTAAGAAACAATGACTTAATGAAATGAAGAGAGAGAATAATATACAAATCGGACAAAATGTTAATAATTGATGAATCTGGTAAAGAGGAGTGTGTGGGAATTTCTTATAGCCTTCTTACAACTTTTCTGAAGTTTGAAGTGATACCTAAATAAATTTTTTTTAAAGTAAAGAGCTTGTTGATTATATTGGAGAGAAATTCACAAAATACTTCAAATGGCAGCCAATATCAATTGTCTAAGATAAAGAAAAACAATCAATGAATAGAATTTAAATGTAAAGTAATATCCTAATATTATCACGGAGACAAACCTTTGACCTGTCATGACCTATATTTGCTTGTCTTTGATCTAATTTTTGGTGTTCAATTTTTTTTTAAAAATGTTAGGACATATCCCCAAAATGCCACGACACAATATCATCCAAGAGAATTTTCAGAAGAGGAAAAAAAGACACTGGAACAATCAAAAACTTTGACTGATTTTCTTAACAGTGTGTCTATGAGGTAAAAATTATGTTAAATTTTAAAAATAAAACAAAAAATATGCGTTTAGCTATAATAATGAGTCTTAAAAAACAACCCCATGCCTGGTGTCCAGATAGAGTATGAAGACAGTTACTAGATACGCATGAGCGTGTCACACTCTCTCCAGATTCTCAGTCTTTCTTTCCCTTCTGTTGCTAAGCAACACCCTGGACTGTCCAAGCTAGGCCCACACCAAACTGTGCGAACCTGGAAGACATATGCATTTGAACATGGAAGGATGTTTTCCTAATGGCAAATTAACAACTATTTATTTACCTTTTTTTTTAAGTCTTTTTCTTCATTCCTCACTCCCCTTCTTAGCTTTATTAACTTTTATAGGATCACAAAGATGAGGACGCTGTGGGTGTTGAGGATGATGGTTACAATGATAATAGAAATTTACAAAAATATCTTTTAAATAGAAATCTGAATCCAATTCAGATGTACTTTATGGATACATCACCCTTATCCCTAATTCCTGTGTTGCTGCCACTCTTACCGGCTCTGAAAGAGAGGTGACTTCAAAATTCCCCCCGCACTAATACTGAGACCCGAGGCAGAGCCTTGGGGCTTCTTAACTAGAGAGTCTGACAAGGTCTCATCAGGCTGATATCAGAGTTCAGATAAGTGGAACCATGTGGACAGGTCTGCCAGTTATATCAATAGGTTGGTTTCCATTTCTTTCCCAAATTTAAGATTCGGTAGACAAGTTCACATAGAGCCAAAGTTAAGCTTTTTCTATTTTTATTTTTAAGAAAACATTTTATGGTTGAGTGTCTTGAAAATTCCAACAAGTCTCAAAAGTTGTTACCTATACCTAGAGGGAATCTGGTTCAAAAATTCATTAATGATTCAAAGAGAGCTTATTAACTATTTGCCGCTCACTCACAGTAAGTGTGCTACAGTTTTTCCCATGTGGGCAGTGAGAAACTAGAAAACCAGGGATTTCTTTTCCCTCATATTAAAATTAAGTTGTTATTAAAATTTTTCCTAAGAACATTAAAAATTAGAAGTCTGTCTATGTACAATCAATTTCAAGAGAATAAATGGTCTATAGCCAATTCTCGGTTATCTACTTTGTGTATTATCTTTAGATGTGGGCTTTTATTCTTCCCTTTTAATTGTCATGCTTATAAACAGAGGGATAGTGAACAGCTTCAAAATTTATACCTTGAGATGTGGGGAGGAGTAGCCAGAACTATAAGAAGAAAGAGGAACATTGGTACAGGAATTTTAACTACACTGGCCACGAATAAAGAAAAACCTACATTTACATCACAGCCATGCTTCCCACTCTAAAACTGCTAAAGGTTTACTTAATTATATATATATACATATATATATATATATATATATTTTATTGAAGTATAGTCAGTTTACAATGCTGTGTCAGTTTCTGGTGTACAGCATAATGCTTCAGTCATACATGAACATATGTAATTTTTTAAGAGTACTATAAACCTAGTTTTGTTCTGGAAGACAGACATTTTAGAAATGAGTTCTTTCCTTCTTAGAATTTTGTCTAGAACAAACCTAAGGAGAGCATTATTTGCAAAAGAAGAAAATGATCTGAGAGAAGAGAGAGAAACTTCAAGGGGATTCCCAAAGCAACTAAGAAATGTTCATTTAGGGGTTAAAAGACAGTGATAGCCCAGAGGCTTTCACTCAGTTGGCAAGCTTTGTCAGCCCCTAAGCCATTGCTCCCAGGAGCCAGGTGGTAGAAGGCAGGGAAATCAAGAAACAGGAAGCCAGAGAAAAGGTGCTGGCTTCACTTCTCCCTTGAGAGTCACTTCCCCATTCAGGCTGAGACGGAAGCATCAGGGAACCAGAGCAAAGGCCCTGTCTTTAATTTCTCTCTTGGGAATTCCTTTCTCATTCAGGCTGAAACAGAAAGAAATGATTCTGAAAATGCTAGCAAATGCTTCTACTTGAAACTGAGTTTAAACCTTGAAGCTCCGGGTGTGACCCTAACCTGAACAGGGCTGTTCAAACTTTCCGGTGCATATGAACCCCCTGGGCACCTTGTTCAAATGCAGTTCTGACTCAGGGGGTCTGGGAGGGGCCTCTGTCTCTGCATTTCTAACAGCTCCAGCTCGTGCTGCTGCTGCTGCTGGTCAGGGATGTGCTTCTAGTTTGAAAGATGAAGTATAGGAAGAATTTAGCCCAAAGAGTATTCAATTAAGAAGTGAATGGTAGTGTAATGATTAATGACAGAGGTATTACATGGTACCCTTGTTTAATTACATGTTAGGAGTATCTATTATGAAATTTACTGTTTAATTTTCTAAATAAAGGGTTTTTTTCCCCTTATTTTAGGAAATTCTTATTGGAAACCACTCTTTCAGCTTATTACATTTATTAAAATTCAAGTTATCTGGACTTTAGATCATAAGGATAAAGCCGTGGGTAGCATTCTAATTGTGGGCAAGCTCCTAGTGGCCTTGGGAGTGGGCTGAGCTTTCAAACCTAAGCATATAAAGGGACAATAAGCTTTATAGTAACTTATAGCAACTTTTAAAATAAGGAGCCTGTCAAACTGAGGTCCCTAGACTAAGAAGAGATGAGCCTAGCACCCAGATTGTTTCTTAAAGAAGCAATATTAGTATTTTTAGCAGGATAAGTCTTCATTTTAGGGATTGTCTCATGCATGGCGGGTGGTTTAGTAATTGAATTAAACACATCAGCACCTGCCAGGCATGTGACAACTGAAACCACCACCACCACGTGCACACACACACACACACTTCTAAACTCCAAATCTCCCCCTTGAGAATCCCCTATTTGTTGTTTTGAATTATATATATTAAAATAATTGTCTATATTATTACAATAGTAAGCATACATGATCGTTTGGTACTGAAAATGGCCAAGAAAATTGCCTTTTCTGTCAGTTGGGAGTTTTCAAGAAGCAAATGAGGTCAAATTCAAAGTAGAAGTTTACTGAGAAGCTCACTGTGAAAAATAAAGGAGCAGGAAGCAGGATTGGGCGGGGAGAACTTCAGAGTCTCAGCCAGCCCATCGGGGAGCTGCCTAGGAAGCCGACCTGTTGGAGGCGTCCTGCCCGCAGCACAGCTGGCAGGCCCTGAGGTCCCTGCAGCTGCCATGCTCAGTCACTGGCCTGGAGAGAGCATGGCCTTGGCTGGGAAACTGAGGCAGATCGTGATGGTGTGGGAGGCTGTCAGCTGTGGCATCCTGGCAGTAGGAAAAGTTCTGAGCAGCACACTGCCATGATTTCTTTTTCTCTTAAGTAATTCATTTCACATGGGGTTAATCATTAGTTACCAAATACAATTGACTATTTTTTTTTCTTTCAGTATAAATGAAGCAGGAGAAACTTTCTATCACTGAATACTAAAATCCAACATCTTAATTCCTTTTTTTCTCTTACAAAAGTGTTGAAATAGCCCTGCAGCAAAATGAAATCATGAATGTATTTATTGATGACTGGAAACGCCTGGCAGAAGAAGAAGGCACCTTTGGGGACAAGACTGATACCCACCTGAAAGAGTACCAGTCCTTTACTGACCTTCATAGCCCCACGGAGAAGATGATCACCTGCGTCTCCTGGCATCCAGTTATCTTTGGTGAGGCAGAATCATGGCTGGGATTCCCTTCTGGGAGGACATTGAAATAGCCTGTTGCTTTTATATGTGAGCAAACTAGCTCACTTTCAGTAAAACAATTTCCATTGTTGAGTGCAGGCCAAGTGCTTTCTGAACCTCCTCTCCATCATGATCCTCCCAGCTACCCTGTAGGACTGCATTCTGGTCTCTGCTTTACAAGGAGAGGACCAAAGCTCGCAGGGACGTGACTGGCTCAGGCCACCTAGCTGGATTTGCCAAATATGGATGTGCCTGGGGCCTGTTGGACTCCCAAGACTAGCTTCATTCCCTCTGACCTTCTGATTACTGAGCAAGATAGGAGACACACCTCCTTTAAAGCGCTCAGTGGCTGAGGGAGGTAGGATGCATGAAGGTGCAACCAGGAACAAAGCCATCCATGCCTTCTTTCTTCCCCCTTCCCTCCCCAACATTGGTCCTCTCCTCACCAAAACAAAATAAAAAAAACACCTTTTTTCTTACTAAATCTTCAAAGTTCACTGTTTATTTTATACTAACAGTACCTCTTAATTTGGACCAGTCACAGTTCAAGAGCTAAGTGACACATGGCTACTGGCAACCAATGTGTTAGACAGTAGAGTTCTAAGAAAACTCTTGGCCTCTCATAGAATATTTCTATGCAAATCTCATCAACATAGCAATGAAGTGACTATGTAGGGAAACAAAACCTAAAAACACTTCTCCGTGTACCGTTGCTGCAGATTTTAATTTCTAGTTGTGTTTCCATCAGGGCTAATAGCCGTATCGGTGGCTGTACGACTCTCCTTTGAAGAGAGAGTCCACTTTTCTGGTAAATTATTGCTGCAGCCATCACTGATTCTTTTCTGGAGCTTCTCCGATCCCATACATCCTCAGGTAATTAAGGAGAGTCTTCTACATGGTCTAGAAATTTCAAGTACTACTTTCACATATCTTTAGCAGTTTTAATTGCAAAATACTTTATAATCACTTAATGTTGTAAACCCTTATAAAGTTAGGCTTTCTTCAGTTCAGAATTTGTCATCATTCAATTCAAGCAGAATTCAAGTTTACACTTAATTTATTTAAAAGGTTTATTGAACAAATCAACATGTTATTTAAAAAAATTGTAAGAGGAATGTTCAATTGATTTCAAAGAACAAACTCTTTTATGGGCTTTATTTAAGTACTAATTGTTGAAATGCAGAGGGATTTTAGTTTCATATGAATTTCCTCAATTCGAAGGACCGCCAGTAGTGATGGTAATGAGTAAAGATGACCATGTGGGTGTCCGTGGGGAATGGTGGGGACTGTGGCCCCGGGGAGTACACAGCCCATCTGTGGGGACAGCTACTCTTCTGCTCTCGTTGCCGGTGGTCCCACTTGTCAAGAGAATCCAGCAATTTTATGTGAGCTCTTCCAATTTTTAAAAAGATAACTAAACCAAACCAAAGCACACAGCAATCCAAATAAAATAAGGCTGAAGGCCTTTGAGTTCCAGTATCTGCTTCAGAAGAGTTCTGCTTAGGGGGAGGTTGTTTTATAGTGTTAGATTAAGCTTTTTCAATGTACTTAAATATAGTAATATTTGGTTTCTATAAAGCATTACATAACTGAGGCTTTCCCTAATAAACCCTAGCCTCCTTTTATCCCTTCTTCCCTAATTCATCTGAATTAAGGCAGTGTTACTGGGATGGAGTCTAGATGCTTTACTTACTAGAGACACAGAGATCAAAATGACAGAGCTCTAGTTCCTCCTTGTCAGCCCACTTACCGCAAGAATGGCGCTGTTCTCTCGCTGGGGTTTTCTCACAGTTTCCAGTATTTAGAACCACTCTCCACTCCACGCCGTGGAAGTGTGGCTGAGCTTCCAGGCAAATAGGAAGAGGAAGGAAAGAAAGACTCTCCTTTCCTCTATTTTGAAGAATAGGTTTTAAAAGACACACAGTTTCTTAAAGGAATAATGCAAATTTTTAGCTTTGTTCTAATCAAAGCTATAGGAGAGTATTAAAAGATTATATTGTTGAAAGTAGAGGTTTCTCTAGAATCCACTGAGTACCAAATAAACCAAGATACTTCACCCCGATTCCAATTTGAAATCTTTAGCCCAGTGATGGCAAACCAATGGCCTCCGGCGCATGTTGTTTCGGTCATTATGTTTCAAGAACAGTGAGCGTGCAAGTGTTTAGCTTGGTGGCAACGCAGTAGCACACGTGCTAACCACGGTCAGTGCACCTGTTTCCTCACACTGCTGTATTCCTCGCAGGGCTTCCGCCCTACCCTCCAGGCACTTGATGTTGTCTACCTTATGGGTTCTGTATTATTTTAAAATTTGAAATGTTATCATTGGCAGCACTGCCATCTTCTCTTGTTCAAGAAATTTTGTTTTTGAGTGCTCACTCTGTGCTACGCTAGCTGTACAGCGGAGAATAAATCATACAAACATCCTGCCCCCCCAAAACTTGTTTTCCACACTTTTCAGAAACATTTATTTCATCGTCTTTGTGTTTATAAAAAATTATAACATGTCTCAACAATGACCCATGGAGGGTGGGGGGAGGGAGACTGGGTCCCCTTGAGAACTTGCCTGCTGCTCTCATACACACGGTCAATGTCCAGAACAAGATTCCGCAAAAGCAGCTTCCAATCCAGAGGTAGAATTCTGGGAATGTGCATGTCTCTTATAGATGGCTATAAAATTAGACTTTCGATTGTCTTAATATTACTTTATAGCCATGATCTTAATAAGTTTTCTCATTCTGCCTTGAATTTGTGGGGTTTGCCTTAGTTAATGCTGGAGAGCCCAGATGACATCTTCTGCTTCGAGTTCTGTCCAAGTGACCCTAATATCATTGCTGGAGGCTGCATAAATGGGCAGGTACGTATGGCTCTTTTTCAGCTATGGATTAATTTAGGCAACATTCTGTAATACATTTTGGTACTATTTTTTAACTTAAGGGTTCAATTCAGCAGAAGGAAGGCATGCCAATTGTGTGCCAATCACCATGCCAGGAACTGGGGTATAAAGATCTGTTAGACATGGTATCTGGGCTCGAGATGTCCACAGGGTAACCCAGTTATGATAACTGGAACAAAACAGGTTAAATCTATTTGTGTCACTGGGGTAGAACCACACATTTTACACGATCCCACAGAAGAACAAAAACCACGAGCATTAATACCTTATAGTCAAGGGGCCTCTTCTGAAATTTCCCTAGGGATAGGAGTTTGGGAATGATCCAGAATTTAAACAGAATTCTCTGGAAAACACACCTACATCACTAAATTTATGTATGTATAATTTGATAGCCTATTTGCTTTTTCTTTTTTCTCTTTTAAGTTACCTAGTTTGTGTAAAATTTAGGTTCTATCCTCCAGTTGCCTGTTTTTTTCCAATAAAGCAAAATAAAAATCTTATAGCTACTTTGTGATCAAAGTTTAAATTCACTATGATACAGTGAGTTTGACCATTACAAGGGTATATATGATCTTTTGTGGTGTGGCTAGGGGAACTTCCTTGTGGTTGCAATGTAGATGACTGCATCATCCGTGCCCACTTATCCAAAGCCAAAAACATCTAAGAAAACTAATTTTCTATTTTCAAAACTAATTTTCTCCTTAAGTTTTGTTCAACAATAACTGGCAGTCATAATGATGACTCAGAGCCCATCCTTCAAGCCCTGCAAATACTGAAATGCTTTTTTTTACTGATTATGAAGGTGATACAACTTTGTTTTAGGATATTTTAGAAAAGCAAATGATGAAAATAAAACCACTCACAATTCTGTCCTGACATTTTTAACATTTTAGTGTACTGCAATGACTTTTCATCATTGAAAATTATTCCAATTTAGTGTTGCATGTTCTACTTTATTCTGATTTTTCAAAAAATGGCTATCCATTTATATGCAAATTCAGCATTGGCCAAAATAGTCAATTAAATAGAAATCATCATTTCCTGGCCTTTTGGACAGCTGAGTATTTGTACTTAATTCTGGAGAACAGGCTGTTTTCTCCTGGGTCTAAAGCAACTGTCCTCAGAATCCACACAGTTCCCAAAACAGAGGAAGAACTCTTCCCAAAGCAGAGAGAATTGCATGATGTCTATGTTGGATTTAAGAAAACACTAGCATTTATTAACACAAGCACAAAAATCAAAGTGCTGAAAATACTCTTATAGAGAAGAAAACATTTTTTAATACTAGCTTTAAAAGTTGCTGACTTACTAAAGATGTAGGTAAATTTGATTATTCCCCCCCACCAAGGTGGCTGATTTATCAGAGTGCATGCAATACCAATGTGTTTTTTTTTCTAATGTTCAAGATGCAATTAGCTGTTCCCTGAAAATCTGTTGTGAGAAACTTTCCTTTTGTTTCAGATTGTCATGTGGGACATCACCGCACACGCTGATAGAATAGAAAACATCAAGGCGGGTGGGAGCAGAAGTAAAAAAGTCACCCTCAAGGTTAGCTGGCTTCTTATAACTTTTCACTTGCAAGTTTTTTCCACTCAGGAGTTTATCAAAAAGTACCTAAGAGGGCTGCCAAGCTAAACAAAGACTCAGTGGGGGGGAAAGTGTTATTTCCTAAGCCTTCACACCTGCTTGTGGATGTGTTTTCAATCGCTTTCATGTAGCCCCTAGATTAAAAACAGCACAGAACAGATGGTAATATCTATCCCAGGGTTCCTTTTTGTTGTTATTGCTGTTAAATAAAATGAAGGGGCCAAGGGGTTGTATAAAGTGATGGAGCTGAAAAGGCACTGGATAGAAGGGCCACACATCCAGGCTCTAGATCACAGTCCTGAGAGTTTGGACATGCTCCCCCACCCCCTCAGCAAGCATCAATTTTCTCATATATACAACAAAGGGGTTACAATTCTTTCTGATAATAATATACTATGATTTTGTGAAGCTTTGGATTCTGCCAAGAGGGCTGGGAAGAGATTGCTCAGCTCCCAACACAGTGCTTATCCACCGTTTACGCATCTCCGCCCTGAGTCCTTCAACCTGAGCATGACGGGTCTTCACCGAGAAACAATGGGAGATGGTCTTCTGGTGCATTCAAAGCAATACACCTTCAGAAATGGGACCTTGTTGGTTTTTTAGGAAATGGGTCAATAATTTTTGTTAAGTTTATTGATTAAAGTCTTAGACTAAACTGAAAAAGAAAGATTATTACCTAACTATATGATACATAGAAACACTAATTTCTGGTTTTCCCTGAACTGATATTTCCCCAAATTATTGATTTTAATTGGAATAATAGGTAAATTATGAGTTCACTCATCAGCGCTCTGAAATTAGCACATAACTTTCTTTTAACATTTTACAGCCATTGTTTCTACTTGAACCAGAGAGTAATAAAGAAGTAATGTATATCAGACACTGTGCTGTCTCCTCAATAGAAAACGGACATAGGAAAGTCATTACCGATATACACTGGCTGTCTGACACGTTTGAGGTGAGTCTGGCTTGTAAGTTATTCTCCTGCTGGCTTATAAGCTTTCAGGAGATTTTATTCAAAGAGGATGTTTCAAGTCAAAAATCCATTTGCATTTAAATTGTGAAATGACCAGGAACTAGACATCACACAGTTGTGTCACTGTTGACAGATCAGTATCTGACTTGGGGATGAGAATAAGGCCAATGTTTCAACTTTGATGATTTATAAACCACGAAAAAATTGTACATGGTATTAACATTGATATAATACAATAGTGGAGAAGGTGAAGATTGTAAAACTAGACTGCAAATATTTTACACCATTAGCCTTTGTGGATTTAAAATTTATGATCTGAGCTATTTAGAGCAGACAACTCTGAAGATCTGGGACATACAGTAATGTGTCATTTGGCAAGGTGGTCTGTACTTGACCCACAAAGTCTAGGGTTTGTGAATTTGGAAACTAGTAAGTTTCCCAAACATTTCCTTCAGGGAGCTAAGGGTCTATCTACTATGTGCTTTGAAGAATTAAGAGGTGAGTATATCAAAGAATATTCTGAAAACTCAGAGTTATGGGAAGTGATTAGCCCTTTAAGGTATTCAAATAGATTATGGAAAAACACAATTACTTTTCAAAGTTGTAATGGACCAAAATAAATAGCCCAGATAGCAGTTCTGTTATTTACAAAAGTTTAACTTGACAATGGAAGTTGCAACACAAGGGAGGGAATTTATTTCAACTCCATTTCAGCTCACATCACATATGTAAATTAATTCAAGTGATTATAAATTTAAATAAAATAACAAATCAAGGAAACATACAACAAATCAGGATAGAATAGCTTATTTCTGGATTCAGTAGTTTTCTAAGCTAATTATTATTGAAAGAAATTCAAAGCACCATACACATATACTTTCTAAATTAAAAAATAAAGGACAAATAACAAAATGAAGAAAAATGTTTGTCCCAAATGTGGTAAATGCAAATTTTCCAGTAAATAAGCTAAAGACATATACTGAAAAACAGTTAGTAGATAAACAGGAAAATTGTTCAGACTTTCTAGTATCAAAGAAATTAATAATAAAGCAACAATAATGTACTATTTTGGAACTATTCAATTTTTTAATGAAAATTTCAAACAATTCCCTGTGTTAGAAAGGAGGAAATGGTGAAAACCAGTGAACTCTAACATTAGAGTTCCAACATAAAGTTTTCGTAATACAATTAGCCGATGTGGTCCTTAAGTCATCCAAATTTTCAAAGGTTTTGACCAGTAATTTGTAATTCAAATTTTGGGAATTTATGCAAAGAAATAATCCAATTTGTATCTTAAGATACACAGCCATATGCCAAAGTGTATCCATGAAAGAAGACTGGAAAAGATTATAAGGTAGAATTATATTTGATTTTAAAACCTATTTTCCAAACTTCTGTAATACTAGTATTATTATTCTTTTAACCATTAAAACATACAGCCCTAGAGCAAGCACAACTTGGGGTCTTGTATTTCCTACAGTCGGGAAGTCTTACTAGAGGGGGGGCCCCGTGGGTTCTGGACTGTGTATCAGAGCACAGTGGAAGCTGGCTGCTGTAACTGACCCCGGACCAGCTCAGGCCACAGCAGCGTCGCCAGGCCTCCAGGGCCCTAGCTCCTGTGACGTCAGTAGGCCTTACCGGTGCAGCACCTGTGTCCTTCCTCCCACCCCACCTTCACCATTTTTCTGCCGCTGGAACCCCCACCTCTGTTTGCTTTTTGCTCACTAGTCCTATCGTGTAAGGTAGGGTATTGGGAAAAGTCATGTTTCCCTGTTGATGTGATTTGAGAGTGGCACCTTCACAGGCAAATTTCACCTCTGAGAGCTAGTTGATTGAAACTTTGGACCTTCTAGGCCCTTAAAGAGCCATTCACTCTCCTTGGACTCCTCTGTGTGCTAGCAGAGTTGTGCCACTAACTACTGGAAGAATGTAGGTCCCCCAGCATTCGCTGCATGCTGCACGAATCTGATGTAACACCAAGCCTCTTTTCTATTGATCTTACCTACTTAACCCTCCCATAAAAGCTCCTGTGTTCAGCTCCACAATTAGTAGTGGAAAACAGGGAGTGCCTACATTTCTAATAATAATGGTAATGAAATTATGATTCATCATCTATATATTAAAAAACAGAAATATTTATGTCTACATAGGTAAGTGTTCAAATTATATTAACTGAAAACTCTTAGGATAGAAGTTTATATACTAACTAAAACTAATTTAAAAATATAAAAAATGTCTCTGTGAAAAAAGACTGGGAAAGATTTATGGTAGAATTGTATTTGACCTCAAAACCTAGTTTTCAAATTCTTTGTTAGTGTTATGTTCTTTTAATAAAAATTAAAGCAAAGAAGAAAAACATTTTAAAGTAAAAATGAAAAGCTTTTAGGAAAAAGTCATTACTGTTCTAGGTATACAGAACTAACTTCCAGCGTTTTTAAAAAATAGATTAACAGACTGGGTTCTGTCTTTGAAAATCGAAGCGGAATATCCTGTCAACTTGCCACTTGTTCCGCAGACTGGTATGTCTTACTTTAACCATTATCTATTATGTTTTCATACAATATGTTCTTTTTGTAGATGCTTCTAAAAAAAGATGCTTCTATCATTGTCCTCTTCTGTCCCTTAAATAGTCTTTATTGTAGCAATTAAACCTAATATAACTAAAGGACAGAATGTTAGATTGTTGCTGATTAAAAAAAAGTTTTACAGATACAAATATGTTGTAAAAAGTAGAATGAACTAGGTTTAATAGTTGATAATGTTGTGTAATATTAGCCATAGTTATTCTGTTTCTTCACATTCACATTCTTGTAAGTTTGCTTTATGTGTTGTTTACATCCAATTATGAAGATTACAACATTTAATTGGGAAAGTTCCTTTGAAAAAGTGGAAGAGTTTTATATTTTATTGCATATTTATTACAAGTATTTTTATAAACAGTTCAGTAACTATGTTGAAGAATATTTATTTTTAAAAATTGTATCCCTTAATTTATGGAACTGAAAATTCATAGTGAAGTAGGAAATATGAAGAGTAATAGTATCATCTAGCATCCAAATACTGGCAAAACTTTCCCATTCCAAATAGCTTTGAGCCAGTAGAAGTAATGGCACCTTAAGCTTTAGGTGCTGACAGGAGCAGAAGCAGCGGTGGGTGGCAGGTGAAGGCATCAGTAACATCAGCAGCAGCCGTGGGCAGGAGGTGGGGGGAGACATGATTAATCCCATGGGCACGTATTGGGTGAGGTTCTGTAATTACAAGCAATAGAGATTGACTATGGTTAACTTAAGGGAACAAAAAACATTTACTGGAAGTTCATGCCAATGCTGTACTAGGTGCTTTAACAGGCGAGCTATTTTTGTATTCTCACCAACCTGGAAAATACTTATGGATAAAAGAAATGAGGCTCTGAGGGCGAATATATTATCCACCCTTAGCTCACGATATATAGTGAATGGCCAGAATGAATGGCCAGCCCCTTCCATCTGAATGAATCAGTTCCAACCATTGTGTCACTGTTGAAGATACAGAGTGACAGAAGAGAATCTGGTTTCTGCTACATCGTGAACTCACCCAACCAACCAGGGAAGGAGCGGCAAAGCACCCTGAGTGGCAGCTCCACCTGACTGCACGCAGTGCAGAAGGGGCAGCTCCCCAAAACAGAATGCTCCTGCTAAAAAAAGGAGGGGGGAATTACTGCCCAGACAGAAACAACACATGGTACCAATAGGGCCATATGAAATATTATACAACAATTAAAATTGTATTATTATTTCATGGAGAAATGCTCGTGGTATAATGTTGATTATAAACAACAGAATGCAAAGCTGTACTGTTCTTTAGTAGCCTTGGAGAGCGTTTAGAAGCTATGAACAGTTCCATGTGTAAAATGTTACATGTCCTACATTGAAGGTACATGTTCTTGATTGTTGTTTATAATGATGGCCCTTGAATTTGGAAATATTCTGGAAATAGTTCCTTTAAAAGTTGTTGTAGTAAGAAGAAATAGTTTATGCATTTAGAAAGCCCGATGCTTAGCTCTCTGGAAAACTCATCAGTTCTAACCTTTATACTTCAACCATACTAAGGGTCTTATAGTATAGAATAAGATAAAAGAAGGTTCTGCTAATTAAGAATGTAACTGATTGATGCAGAAAATTCTACTGAAGTTTCTGTATTTAGCAAAACCATTTCACATATAATGCAAATTAATGCCATAAATGAGATTCAAGAAGAGCTATGTAATTTCGAAAAAGAGTTTTAAATCAACTGTAATTATATTTTAAAACAGATCTTATTATGTCATCTATGGTATTCTACCAAATATTTATATTTTGACCATAAAAATGATTAATATTTTTATTAAATTTATTTATCCATTATTAAATAAATGATTAATATTGATTAAATAATTCACATACATGAATAAAAGTTTTGTTCATCTTGCATGAGCTACCATCTGTTTATCTAAATACTTAAATTTACACATCTAAATTCTTTAATAATATCTTAAATTTACCAAGTTACTCATAACCTCAGTGATAGACATTAGGGAGCTATTATGGCATATTCTTTGCTATTCTTATTATATGTTTTCACATAATTAATGCAAAGACCTTATATACTGAAGTACTGTACACGTATCATAAATTTGTACCAAGTATTTTTGCATTAAAAATAACACTCTAGATCTATATGGAACTTAATAAAGAATTTTCACATACATTATCTCATTTGATTTTCATAACCAACCTGTGAGAAAAAAGAAATAAGAAGAGAAATAACACTTATTATATGCCTACTATGTACAAAGCACATTAAATACAAATTCTGTGTATGCCTTGTTTTATATATATATAACATATATATAGACTCTTGTATATGACACCAAAAACACAACTAATAAAAGAGAAAAAGATAAACTGAACTTCATCAAAATTCAAAACTTGATACTGTCTTTTGAAGCACTATTGAGACATTTAAAAGACAACCCATGCAATGGGAGAAAGTATTGGCAAATCATGCATCGATAGGAGATTTCTATCAAGAATATATAAAGAACTCTTATAACTCAACAATAAAAAGGCAAACAATCCATTTTAAAATGAGAAAAGAATATCAATAGATGTATCACAGAAACAGACTCTTCCCCACCCCAAAATAGACAGAAGTCCAATAAGCACAGATGTTCAGCATCGTTAGCTGTCAAATCAAAGCCAAAAAGACACAAATAGCCGGCAGTCTTGACAGAGAAGAACAAAGTTTCAAGGCTCACACTTCTTGATCTCTAAAGTTTCTGCAGTTATAGCTGTAGAAATAATGGCCTAAGGATAGACCTATAGATCAGTGGGATACAGTTGAGAGTCCAGAAATAAGCCTGTACATCTGTGGTCAACTGATTTCAACAGGGACCGAAGGCAATTTAATAGAGAAAAAATAGTCTTTTCAACAAATGGTCCTGGGACGACTGGGTATTCACATGCAAAACAATGAAGTTGAACCCTTACCTCACACTCCATACAAAAATTAACTGAAAAGGAAATAAAGACCTAAATGTAAGAGCCAAAACTGTAAAACTCTTATAAGAAAACATAGGCAAACAGAAATGTAAATGTTTATGACCTTGGATTAGGGAATGACTTCCTAGATATTGCACCTGAAGTGCAAGCAAATGCAAATGAAACCACTTTTGGTGAGATACCACTTCACTCACTAGTATAGCCAAAATAAAAGAGACAACAAATAATAATTGTTGGTAAGGATGTGGAGAAATTGGAATCCTCAGAAAAGAATGCAGATGCTTTAGAAAATAGTCTAAGAGGGGAGGCTATATCTCAGTGGAGGTGGCAGGATATAGCTCAGTGGTAGGGCACATGCTTAGCATGCATGAGGTCCTGGGTTCAATCCCCAGTACCTCCATTAAAAGTAAACTAATTTTTTAACAACTGAATTACTACCCCCCAGAAAAGCATGTGATTAAAAAGAAAACATTCTAGCAGTTCCTCAAAAAATTAAACCTAGATATTATTACCACATAACCCAGCAATTCCACTCCTAAATATATAGCTAAGAGAAATAAAAAACCTATATCCACACAAAACTTAACGAATATTCATAGCAGCATTATTTATAATAGCCAAAAGGGAAAGTGACCCAACTTTGTTTATTCATTCATCACTCCATCAAATGATGAATGGGGAAGTAAACTGTGGTATGCCATACAATGCAATGTTATTTGGCAATACAAAGGAATGACGTACTGATATATACTACAACATGAATGAACTTTGAAAACATGCGGAATGAAAGAAGCCATTCACAAAGGACCACATATTATCATTCCATTTATATGGAATGTCCAGAATAGACTAATCTATACAGACAAGAGGTAGATATTAGTGGTTGCCCAGGGTTGGTTGGGAAGCGCTGGGGAAAATGGGGACTGACTGCTAATCTGTACATAATATCTTCTGGAGGATGACGAAAATCTTCTAAAATTGATTGTAATGATGGCTTGTACAACTCGATGAATATATTAAAAATCACTGAATTGTGTAAAGTGGGTGAATTTTGTGGTATGTGAGTTATATTTCAATAAAACTGTTACATTTTAAAAAATTGTGTCAATTTACAAACTCAATTCTTACGTGTGATAACATACATAAGATATGATAACATATCATACATAAGAATTAAATAATCCTATAAACTGTGTGATACTCTAAAATGTAAAATGCAAAACAGCCCCATTTCATAAAAATCTTAGTTTCAGAGATAGTAAATATAGCCATGATAAAACATCGCTAATGTGTAGCAGCAAGAATGTAGTCCTAAGGTTACACCTCTTCTTTGTACTTAATAAGAAAATAAACTGTAAACTTTTTTTTAAGCACAATATGTTTTTGGGATATCAGACCACAGAAGGCTTTAACTCCCCAGCCAACAGAGAAAAAGAAAGAAGAAAGTATTGAAATTCCTTTTGATGTACCATCCACTTTTTTGCATCTAGATCTCTCCTGGAAACCTTTCTCTAAAGTAAGTAACATGGGATTTAGTCTGTTTTATTTACTTACATACACTGTATAATTCACACGCATAGACATACATATATACACACACTCTAAAAGCAGAGCAGCTCAGGTTAACACAGGACCTTACAATCCATGTATTCATTCAACCAATAGATTCTTTCATTGAAAGTTATTGTAATGCCTGCCTAGGTCAAGCCAGAAATCACAATTATTGTGAACTTTTTTTTTTTTAGCACTGATCTCATTTCCTTTATTTATCCATTCAACAAAATGCATAGAATTCCATACTTTATGCCAGGCATTGGCTACAACAGGACAGATAAGCCTCCTCCTTCTATTATTCATTGAAGTCTTTCCTTCCATTGATATTCTTTTTTTTTAACATTTTTTATTGATTTATAATCATTTTACAATATTGTGTCAAATTCCAGTGTTCAGCATAATTTTTCAGTCATTCATGGACATATACACACTCATTGTCACATTTTTTTCTCTGTGAGTTATCATAACATTTTGTGTATATTTCCCTGTGCTATACAGTGTAATCTTGTTTATCTATTCACAATTTTAAAATCCCAGTCTATCCCTTCCCACCCTCCACCCCCCTGGTAACCACAAGTCTGTATTCTCTGTCTGTGAGATTGATATTTATTCATATATAAGCAAGTTATACCTCACCAGTGGTCTGTGTAACAATTATTCAATTGCATAGCAGTTGCTTAAAATTGGTAGACTCTCGAGTTAGCCTGGAAATCTCATTTTACCCGTATTGTAGCCAAAATTCTGAGTATTTTGCATATCAATAGTAGAATTGTATTATAATACCTATAACCAAATAAAACTGAAAATAATTGGAATAGAAGTTATTTGTCGTTATCTTCAATGGCAGAGCATGAAGAAAAGTAACTTTAATTTAAGGAAGATATGGCTACTGATGCCATGTATGTGAAAAGTGTGAATGGACTTCTGACATTGATGACTCTTTCTTCGGAATGTCCACTACTAATTCCAAACTTAGTATTTTTCTTTTCCTTTGACTTACAAGTATCACTAGAATTACATTGTCATGTATTTTAGTGGAAAGAAATCCCAGAGGGGTGAGAATATTTCTGAAGTAACTGGGATTAGAAATGAGAAACAGAGGATTAGAGATCTCCTGGGGTAGAATTTACTGAGCTGTAGATAGTTTAAAAAGAAACAAGCAAACAAAACTTCACCGGGAAATAATTGTATAGCGTGTGGACAAACATCCTGATGGAGAACAGTGGAGAGGCAGCCATGAGGGAAAAATGTAAAGGGTGACACTTCCCGATTCTGGTTCAGACCCAGGGCCACTTCTGCATGGAGCTCAGGGGCATGTGTGTCCCCCAGGGGACTTGGCCATGCCAGGGGGATGCAAGGTCCCTGAACAACTGTCTGGGGCTTTGTTTAACTAAAAGATTTAGGGGACAGAGGAATAGGCCATTATTTTATATTAAAACCAGCAGGGATGTGTTGTGGAGTGGAATACAAAACATTTTCAGAAATTAAACAACACATGAGACTTTGGGATTTGGAAATGAGGCTCCAGACAAGCTCCCCCAGTAGCACAGCTTTAGGTGCTGTGTTTTAGGTGCTTTTCCATGGGGAAAAGCAACCAAAATCTGAGGGGGAATGGAGAAGGGAAAGGGAGAGGGAAGTAGGGCCCAGCGATCGGGGGGGGCAGAAGGGAAAAGCAAGAATGAATCACCCATGGATAAACTCAAGGATATAAGTAAATAATCTTTCTTGTATGTTCTCCCCAAAGATAAGACTGTCTAAAGGTGAAACAACTTTGGACCACTGCCCGACCAAGATAAGCCTGAGTGATGACACCCTCCTTTACAAAGAGCAAGGTAACTGCCTTTGCTGATCAAAAAAGGCATTTAATGAGGTTTGAGTGTTAGCGGCTCCTTATGTCTAAGGTGAATACTTGCTAGGATAGTCTAATTTGTTAAAAAAAAATGCAGAAGAGCAAACCCTCCAGTATGGAGCTTGACAATGGCTCTCATAACTATAGCCAACACATGAAAACTGCCTATACACACAGAAAGATCTGACAGAATTCAGGGCAATTCAGTTATCGAGCACATTCATGCATTTCTGAAAACTCATTATGCTAAAAAAATTCAATGAAGCTCACCTAATATGTATGTGCTCAAAGAATAATTCTACAGAATGGAATGCGTCTCAAGTCTAGCAAAATAAGTAATGAAGTGCTCAGAAACAAGTTAGCACTCTCAGTAAGAAAAGAAAAGAATAGAAAAATTAATACTTATACAGCACCATGATAAAACTGAGTAAAGAAAGAACAATCGACCTTTAAATGTATCTCAACCCATACACCTTTGTTGGAGTAATTGAAGGGTGTGCATATAAGCTGTCAAAATTGTTAAAACAAAGGTGTACATGAATCCCCCGCCTGGAGAGCACTGCATAATGAGACAATGTACAGGAATCACTAGTAACTGAAGTATTTTCCAAACATTTGCCTCCTCAGAAGGATTTACATTTATAAATTGTTCAGTGTTCAGTTAAATAATAGGACATCTAAGAAAAAGATATATCCAGTATTCATCTTGGGCAAACTTTACTTTGAGGCTGTGTGTTTTATAGATACCACCCAAGAACTCAAGCTAAAACAAAGGAAAATGGAATCACTAAATTTTTATAGACATTTTCAAAGCAATGTTAAAACATTGCATTTTTTTATGTATTTGCGCCTCCTTCATTCCAGAGGGTGATGTAGGACCTGCCCTCCTTCTTCCACTCCTCGTCTTAGTATTTGATTACTGGTTACCACGTGTTGAATTCCAGCCATGAGCCAGGCACTGTGCTGATACTGCACGTGCTTTTATGCATTTAGCAGATTTGTTTGAAGTGCTTATTTTATGCTGGGCCCTGGGGGTGCAATGGGGAGTAAAATAGACGCTAGTGATCAGAGCAATCCTGCAAGCTGGAAATTTTCATTATCAGTTTATAATTAAGGAATCCAAGACTGAGAGAGCTTAATGTAACCTGTAAAAAGATAACTCGTCAATGTCCTAGTCTTACTTTTAACCTAATGATAAGGCGATCATGAGGGTGTTAGTGCTTCTATCCAGTTTTTAGTAAGGATATCATTATATCTTTTAAAGGGTAGGTTTTTACCCTTATTCATTTGTATTTTTATGTTTTTTTTTTCTTGAAGTATAGTCCGTTTACAATGGTGTGTTAGTTTCTGGTATACAGCATAGTGATTCAGTTATATATGTATATATATATTCCTTTTTATATTCTTTTTAAATTATAGGTTATTACAAGATATTGAATATAGTTCCCTGTGCTATACAGTAGGACTTTGTTGTTTATCTATTTTATGTTTAATAGTATCTGCAAATACTGAACTATCAAATTACCCCTCCCCCATTTCCCCCTGGTAACCATAAGTTTGCTTTCTATGTTTGTGAGTCTGTTTCTGTTTTGTAAATAAGTTCATTTGTGTCTTTTTTTTAAGATTCCATATATACGTGATATTTTATGGTGTTTCTCTTTCTCTTTCTTGCTCACTTCACTTAGTATGATAATCTCTAGGTCCACCCATGTTGCTGCAAAAGGCATTCTCTCATTCTTTTTATGGCTGAGCTGAGTAGTATTCCATTGTATATATACACCACAACTTCTTTATCCAGTCAGCTGTTCATGGACATTTGGGTTGCTTCCATGTCTTGGCTATTGTAAATAGTGCTGCTATGAACACTGAGGTGCATGTATCTTTTTGAATTAGAGTTCCCTCCAGATACATGCCCAGGAGTGGGATGGCTGGATCATATGGTAAGTCTATTTTTAGTTTTTCAAGGAATCTCCATGCTGTTTTCCATAATGGTTGCACCAAATTACATTCCTACCTGCCGTATGGGGGGCTCCCTTTTCTCCACACCCTCTCCAGCATTTATCATTTGTGAACTTCTTAATGGTGGCCATTCTGACTGGTGTGATGTGATGCCTCTTGTAGTTTTGATTTGCATTTCCCTGATAATTAGTGTTATTGAGCATCTTTTCATGTGCCTATTGGCCATCTGTATGACTTCTTTGGAGAAATGTCTGTTTAGGTCTTCTGCCCATTTTTTGACTGGGTTGGTTGGTTTTTGTTATTGAGTTGTATGAGCTCTTTGTATATCCTGGAAATTAAGACCTTGTCAGCCGTATTGTTTGCAAATATTTTGTCCCATCCTGTAGGTTGTCTTTTTGTTTTGTTTACAGTTCCCTTTGCTGTGCAAAAGCTTATAAGTTTAATTAGGTCTCATTTGTTTATTTTTGCTTTTATTTCTGTTGCTGTGGTAGTCCTTTATTCACTTTTAACAACTTGATTGAGGTGTAATCGACATACAATAAAATACACATGTTAAAATATTCAATTTGATATATTTTGACATACTAAAAACTCATGAAGCCATCACTATAATGAACATATCCATCACTCCCAGAAGTTAACTCTTATAAGGATTCCCTTTGCAATCCCTCCTCCCAGGACCTCCCCACATCCACCCCCAAGCCACCGCTGACCACTTTCTGTCACTGCATGGCAGTTTGCATTTTCTAGAATTTTATGTAAATCACACAATTATGCTTTTTTTTGTCTGTCTTCTTTCAATCAGCAGAATTATTTAGGATTCATCCGTGTTGTTGCATGCATCAATAGTTTATTCCTTTTTCTCCCATCTCTGAGGGATCAATGTCCTTTGTTGTCTGATGTCCAGTGTCTTAAAAACGATTATTTTTTATCTTTTCCCTTTTTTTTTTTTTTGGTTGTTTTAGGTGAGAAAGCTTAAGTCCAGTCCCAGTGACTCCTGCTTGGCCCAAAGCAGAGGTTTCTCTAAAGTGTGCTTTTTAAAACTTATTATGAGGTATGACTAATTTTTTAAAAAGCAAATGAATCTAAACTTTAATGTTGTTCAAGTGAGTGTAATTCTGTTGATCCTTCATTTCCTTACAAGCAGATGTCTTCCTGACGACTGCCTAAATATGGTGCCATTTCAGAAGACAGAGGCCTTCTTTTCCTTAAAGGGCATTCTATTTCATCTTAGCACAGGCACGGCTAGCACCTGGGAAGAGGCATGTAAGGCTCACTGTGGTCAGAGCATTGTGCAGAAATATTGTGACCCTTCAATTTGTTAAAGACTACTTTTCAGTTATCTCCATATTTGAGTGTATTCAAAACATTTATGGAACTCCTGCAAAACACCAGGCTCTAAGGATATATCTGTGCAAAGACAAGTCCCCGTTTTCATGGAGTTTGCATTCTGATGGGATAGACACTAAATACATATCCACATCCACTTAAGGAAGGAACTGTTTAAAATGAAACTTGAAGCATGCCCCAAACGTCATCAGACAGGGATACTCCCATCGGATGAATGTTCTCTTTCCGCACAAAGTTATTTTGTGGGTGTTTCTTATAGAAAGGCATCTTTGACTAAATTGGTTCGGAAAGGGGATGAACACACATTTTTACATCCTCATCTGAGCTTTCAGTTGGCCATGTCCCCTTACGTGTGTTCTGAAGTCATTGTTGTAGGCAATATCACAAGTCCTGAAAAGACTTAATTCTCACTGGGTAATTCCATGAATCTTGTTAACACATGCCTCTTGTCTCTAAAGGCATTACTGTGGCCATGTCCTGCCTCCTGGGTAGCCGGCCACCTTCCAGGAGTCTGAGCTCTAACTATGGTATTTTGGATCTCCTCTGCACACACTGCAGGCTATTCACCCACTCTGGCCAGATCTGGACCTGTTGATGAGAATTGTGTGGTTCTCACACTCATTGCTTCGTGATCACGTTTTATTACTGTGGGTCCTCTGGCCAGGAATCACAAGTCCACACCATTCTACCATCATTTCCTCGAGGCCTCGTTGGGTCTCAGTGTGTGGTACTCTGTTGCCATCTAGTGGCCCCAGGCCGCTCAGCCTTTGCCTACCATGTTAGATTTAAAAGTCCGTGTCCTTAGCAACTTGAAGAAGTTCTGTACCTATTCTGATAAGGAAGCCTTTGCTCTAAATGGCTCTGGAATTCCTCTTTGGGAATTGCCTTCAAAGCCTCCATTTCATTCTTCTGAGCCATGTGTCATAGTACTTAAGGGTGTGGATGCTGGAGTCTGGGTTTAAATCCCAAAGCCACAATTTGGCCAGATCAAATTACTTTACCTCTCTGTGCCTTACTCCCCCACCCCCCAACCTGTTTAAAAAGAAAGAGATGAAGACAAGGAGAGTAAATAATAAAGGTAACTACCTCATAGAATGTGGTGAAGATAAAGTGAGTTAATACATGTAAAGCTCTAAGAACGGCACACCGTCAACTCACAATGAACCTCAGCTACCTCATGTGAGACCTTGGGCAAACTACTTAACCTCTCTGAGCCTCAGTGTGCTCACCCTTGAAGGGTTAATGCTTTACCACCTCAGGAGTTACTGTGAGAACTGAATGAAATGGGTTTGTTTGTTTGTTTGTTTGTTTATTGGTTTTTGTTTTAGTGGAGGTACTGGGGATTGAACCCAGGACCACGTGCATGCTAAGCATGTGCTCTACCACTGAGCTATACTCCACCCCCTAAAATGAAACAGTTTAGTGCACACAGTTTAGTGCCCGGCATGTGGTAAGCAATCAATAAGTGTTAGCTGCTATTATTATGATGATCCCTGGTAATGGAAAATCCAATTCCTATGAGAATGACGCTGAACTGAATAAATTCCAGTCAGGTCCGAGTCAGCGAAGCTGACGACAGCATTTCTCTCTGGCCTCGTCCTCTCGGACGACCACATCCAACACTATCAAGTAAGGCCCTTTCCTTGGAGCTCCCAGCTTGGCTTCTGTGAACTT